TATATATATATAAATAATGGCTTATATTTGATTTAGTTATATTTTAAATTTTTATTTATAGAAAATAGCAAATCAATTTGATTCTAAATAGATCGCCATTTCTCAACGCATGCATCGCATGGCTCAATTTATATAACTTATCTTATTATGTCACTAAATTTAATTATTATTTTTATTTTTATACTATTCTTGTTTGAAGGATTTTCATAAATGGCACTTAACTTATATATATTTACAAATCTAACCTCTAAAATTTAATTTTTACATGAACTATGTATATATGTCATTTTATGTATGCATGAAAGTTGTGTTTCACTTTTTAAAAGTTAAAATAGTGATATTTTGATATGAATTGCCCTTCTGAAATGTTGTTATTATTGCAACATAAATAATTATTTTATTACATATATTGGTTGAATGAAATAAATATGGAATCAAATAGTATAATGTATGGTATTTTAAATGAATTTATATATTATTTTGGGATGACTTATCAATCACATAAATTAGGCAAAAAGTTAGCCTTTCTTTAATATGTTATGAGGGCTATTTGAAAATCATGATTATGATATTCAAATATTTGTGCTAAAAAAAAAAGGAGCAATTACATGCATACGAAAAATTATTCCATACAGACATCGCACGCAAGTGTCCGATCTTCACCATCGATCACCGCAAAACTGTATTTTGGTGGGCCCCACTTTTAACTTTTTTTTATTATTATTTTGATTGCGATGGTGGAAATTGGACGTCACATGCATCTCTGCATGAATAATTTTTTCATGCACACCACTTAATTCTTATGTATTTAGCACTTAAATTTTGCCTTTTTTAATATGTTATGCTGACGGATATGACATAAAAAAAATCATTATTTTAAATTGTAAAAAGCAAATTACATTTTCATGTATATATATATATGTAAGAATATAGATTTAGATGTTAAATATGTAAACACATAAAAATTGGAGGGGTATGTATGTAAATAATAATTGGCCCCATAGACATGGGTGCTTATTAATAGCCACATAAATGCTTCGAAGGCGCCCGGGGGCCGCCCCAACTGCATTTCAGGCCAGATTTTAAAAGGCCTCAACGGTCATCTCACTTTGCCTTTAATGTACCAATTAAGAAAGGACCGCCCACCAAGCTGCAATAGAAATATTCTCTTCCCGAAATTCTCAGTCCTTTATTTTTTGTGCCACTCAAAGAGATTGTGTGTGAGATATGGTTCAAGTGCGTCGGGTTGGCTCATGAGTCGGCTCGAACTCAGCTCGATAAGTGGCTCGTGAAATCAGCTCGATGAGTTAACGAATCATGCTTAAGCCAGCCTCAACTTGACTCGTTAGCTCATGAGCCGGATCGTTTTTAAAAATATTTACATAAAATATACTCAAAATATATAAAGTTTTAGAACTTTATCAATAAGGTATTAAAAATGTTAAGAAAATAATATTTTTTATTGTATATTAGGTGATTTTTTATAATCCATTTGTCAAATTATTATGAAGTTATTTAAAATTAATATCATTTTATCTTTTTTTTTATATTAAACAAGTCGGCTCGTGAGCTAGCTTGAACTCGTAGACTTCAGCTCAAGCTCGATAACATTAATCAAGCTCGAGCTCAAGCAGAGGGCGGTACGAGCTCGACTCAACTGGTTTACACCCTTAGACTGTGCGATACCCTATATACTTTAGGTTTGTGAGCTATTTATAGTGATGAGAAAATATCAGTCCGTTGTTCTAACATTTGAAAAACATTATGGATTGCCGGTCGAGTTTGAGTTGAACTTTTTGACCCATTTGTTATTCAAGACGGGTTCGGGTCCAAGCAAATTTGGTTGGGTCAAATTTGGGTCAAACCAGAACCGAAGCCCGTAAACCAAATTTGACACCCTTATCTGGCTAGATTATGCCTATGAAAGTACTAATCTATCCAAAATCAACTTAAAGGTCGGATTGAGCAAAAAATTTGGTACATGGCTCAATTTTGGTTTGACGCATGCCAAAAATCAATTTAACCTTCGCACTAAAATTTTAGCTCTAGGCTTGGTCAAGCAAGTCAACTGAGGTTGACTTAGGAGAAATCAACAAGTCACTTTTGATTAAGGGTGCTATTTGGTAGGTCCATTGTGGGTAAAATTTAAAAGAAACTTTCGCATATGTTTACATAAGAATTGGAATATTTCAATAATATCTAAGTTCTTATTGTTACTAATTTGTTCATATTCTAAGCTCTATATCATAGACTTTTTTTAACTATGAATATTTTGAGGAATCTTAATTGATTTTTACGTTGCTCTTTTAATTCATCCTTTTATAGCTGACAATAGATATTCTCTATTAGCCTTTAGTCTCCCTTTTTTCACTAGTTATTTGTAGTAGTATACTTATTATCGTTGTTACATAGTTAACTTTTATACGTATGATTCTCCTTCATTTTTCGATCACTCATGATCATTCATCTATATATGGATGTCTCTAATCCATTAGCCCAATTAATTTTTAAGTTTTTGTCATCAACATTTCTATTATTGCCCAACACACACACATATGCATACATACATACATACATGCATGCATGCATACGTACATGAATGCATGCATGCATGCATACATGTATATGTACATGTATGTTTAAATTAACAATAAATCTTTCATTAATATTTTACTTGATCACAATAAAGTTAGACTAGTTTGCACTACAACCCATGCTTCCAAACCACCTATTCTAAAGCCATCATACTAGCATCTCTCATACACCAATGAAAGATAGGCTGCCTGAATGGTTACATGGCATACTAAATGGACTAAAAATTAAATGGTGAATGAATTCCCTATAATTAGCTCATTAATGCATCAAAATCCATCATTTTATCCACACAAATCATGATGTCATGCAATGAGTGCCCCTTCATTCTCATTATAAGAAAATTCATGATAGCAAATTGATTTGTTTTCTCTTAATTAAATATTTAACTATTCCAAAAACAAAAATGTTCTAAAACATAAAGTAACATATAAATCAAACATAGAAAATCCAATAAGCAACATCTTGATCGGCTATCTGCATGTACGTTGACGTACGCAATACTGTCTCTCTTTCACATCGCACGCATCATCTTGACCGCCTGTCTGTATATACGTTGACATACGCAATACTTTCTCTCTTTCACATCGCACGCATCAAATTACAAACTGACTTTTAATCATCCTCTTAATAATAATGATAAAATTTGCTGTTATCTTTCAGTGCTATGGTCTAACAGAAAGTAGCGGACCCATAACACTTTGTGATGGATTGGAAGGTAATTTACACCTTTCAATAGGCAGGCTGATCCCATCTGTGGAGGCCAAAATAGTTCATGCTCGCACTGGTAAATCTCTTCCACCAAACAAGCATGGAGAGCTATGTGTAAGGGGACCTCCAGTCATGCAAGGTATTTTTATGATGAATTTTGTTTTGCACCAATTTATGCAATTTTCATTAATATATATGAAGTAAAGTTTAGGTGGTAGATATGTAAATGAAAATAGCAAGAGATTTTTATATTATAATTAATTATTATATTACACAGGCTACCTGAACAACCCAGAAGCTACCTCTGTCGCCATTGATGAACAAGGATGGCTTCACACAGGCGATCTGTGTTATATAGACAACGAAGGGCTGGTCTACGTGGTTGATAGAATTAAAGAGCTAATCAAATATAAAGCTTATCAGGTTAGCTTATTAATTAATTAATATTCCACTAATTACTAATTATTAAATTCATATTTTAATTTATTATATATTTTTAAAAATTTTTAAATTAAAAAAAAAAATAGGTTGCTCCAGTAGAGCTGGAAGAAATCCTATCAACCCATCCTGCAGTCGAAGATGTGGCAGTGATACCGTGAGTAATTAAATGATTTATTAATTTTACTGATTTTTTTTTTTTTTCATATTGAATTTAACAAATTATTTTAATTATTTAATTTATATTGAATATTTTAGGTTTCCTGATGAGGAGGCTGGACAGATCCCTATGGCTTGTGTGGTGAGGAAGGCAGGTTTTGAGCTGCAGAAGGATGAAGTAATTGCTTTCATGGAAGACAAGGTTATTTCTCTTTTACTAGAAAATATTGCTTGCGGGGTCTGTATGTATGCCGGCTTCATGTACAATATTGTTGTGCATTATTGTATAACATGTGTACAACACGAAGTTTGCATGCATGCAGAGTTCGCACGTAAGAAATTTTTATCTTCTGCATAGATTTTATAAACTATTTGCGAAGAAAAGTTTTTTTCAATTAAATACATAAAGCACACAACTCTTATGTATTTAGGGCCCGTTTGGGGCAGTTTATTTGTTGCTGTGGCATTTTGAAAACGCACCTGGCCTGTTTTGGTAAACTGCATTTTGGCAGCTTGTGCGTTTTTAAAAAGCTGAAAATAGTGTTTCCACACTGCACTTATCTAGGTGAAGTGACAGTTTATTGGCAACAGTCTGGTTTTTTCAAAAAAATAAAAATTTTTAATAGTCACCGCACCTAGCTTATCAGCAGATTATTTAATAAGCTACAGCTGCCCCAAACATACCCTTTCATGCATGTTGAAATCTAAAGTCTCATTTTTAAGTGCATACCACTTGAAATATTTAAAATTCGAGTAAAGTGTCAAAATGGTTCCCGACTGTTTACGTAGAGTTGTTTTAGTCACAGAGTTTATAGAAGCGACAAAATAGTTTGCGAACTCTTTAAATTGGGATTGAAATAGTCTCCATATAAGATTATTAGAGCTTAATTTAAAAGTGACATTTTTTTTTTCATGCTAACATTTATAATATCAAGATGGTATAGTGTGAATATCAAACTTTAGAAGCTAGTTATATAAAACATAAGAATTATGCGGTATTCATGTAAATTTCTCTTTTATATTTTATTAAAAAATTTAACTACTATTTTACAATACCAAAAAAATTTCTCTTATCACTTATAATTTCTTTTGTATATGTGTATATTTATTTTGCAAACTTTGGCCTTGATAAACACACCAAAAACTTCACACTATTACTTAGGGCTGTCAAAACGGCTCGTTGTTCGCGGACAGCTCGTGTTCGGATCGTTAAAAAGCTCGTGCTCGGCTCGTTTGAGCTGAACACGAATAACACGAACAAATATTTGTTCGTTCTTGTTCTATGTATGTATGTATATATCTTTGATGAGTAGTATTTTAAAAAATTTAATTGACATATAAGACTACAAAGATTTATAATCAATTAAAAGTATTAATGAAGAAAATAGAATAAAAAATATTAAATTAGATTCAAATGATGTTTTAAATCCTGCCCCAATCCTTAACAACTTATGACTACGTGATTATGATTGTCAAAACAACTCTTTGTCGTGAACTCGCTCATGTTCGGCTCGTTTACACCCCTACCACTACTGTTATTATATTTATTTTGTCAGTAAAAGTGGTATAAGTATAAATATCAAACTTTAGTTGGTAGATATGTAAAAAAAAAAACAATTGTGAGGGGTATGTATGTAAATTTCACATTTATTTTATATTAAACGAAATTAACTAATATTTTGTTGATCCAAACACTACCAGGTGGCTCCATACAAGAAGATTAGGAAGGTAATGTTTGTGGACTATATTCCAAGAACACCGTCTGGAAAAATCATTAGAAGGCGTCTCAAGGACACAGATTTCATTCATCAGAGGCCAGAAATGTCAGCAAGACTCTGAATTAATTATGACTACCAGCACTTAATTTTAATTCCAAATTTATAAGAAAAAAAAATATATTGGTGATTGATTGATGTTTTCATATTATTATGTTTTTTTTTATTTTTTTTTTAATTTAATTCTAATTTGGTGAAGATAATATTATACATCAATATTCATTTTTTTCATTTTTTATTATGTTTTTTATTTAATTTTATTGTTAGATATATATATATATTAAAGTAATACAAGCTAATCACATAGATTAGATAAATTTTAAATAACTAAAAAGGAGCTTAGCATTATAAATATGGAAAAATGATGATATTTAAGGAAAAAAATGATTATTATATTATTCATAAATCAAGGTAATATACAAAAAAAAAGCTAAAAATTCCAAAAAAAAATGTTAAGAACAATTAAAAATAAGAGGTAATCAAATTTTAATTAAAATTAAATAAAAAAGATCTTCAATATTTTATTTAGAATTTGCATATAAAATATGAATATAGGTTGTTTTGGTATAATATAGATCATCAAAATTTAATATTTAATTATACATTTTATACTATTTATTAAATTTAAATTTAGTATTTAACTGTAAATATATGAGACAAACGTGTTCAAAATTAACTTGTTTTCAAAATTATTTTTATTATTTTTAATTAGACACGTGACAGACTTATAACGTGTTGCATGCATGTCAGTGCCCATCATGAGTTGGACATTGCATGACCATGATTGTAAATGCATTATCTAAATATCTAGATTTGATATCATAAAATCCATTTAAAATATACACATGCATGCTTGGATACATATATTCTCATTGAATCTAAATTTATTTAACTTATAAAATTATTAGCAACATATAAATGATTTACATGAGAATATTTACGTGATATTTAGGTTAACTATTATAGTTATATATCTATAAATAAGAGGTACATGAAATTCTTTCTAGGATTTTTTATGAGTAAACACTCTTTTCTTCTACGAGTGGCCCTTAATTTATATGTGTAAGAGAGATTTTTATTCAATGCTAAAACATAACTCTCTATCACTATAGATACTTAAGATCACAATCATTAATAAAAATATGCATATGTATTAATGAATATGTATGCTAGTATGTGATGCATATGTATATATTCCCAGTAGTAAAATGAAAAATTTTCAACTTAGTTTTATATAAAGATCCATCACAGATAATTAGAAGAAAATTTCATAGAAGATCTGGCTTAGAGGAAATGATTCACTACAAAATAGGTATTATAATTGCTTGTTATTCCTCTAAATTGGAAAAGACAAATTTAGGAACAATACCTCAGTCTCTTATGTTTCTAATAGAGATTATTGGAGAAATAATTGAGGGTGATAAAATTCAAATAATGATAATTTGACAATGTTAGTTCAATGGCATTGATAAGAAAATTGTAATTGGGTGCTAATAACAAGGTGATGACAATCAAGCAATGACAATAATACAATTATGGTTTGCAATAATGAATATTGGTAGTGTTCATCAATATTGACTAAGCCATGATGGTTAAATGTCGGCACAATTTTTAGGAGGGTCATGTGGAAGTTGTCGGTCGCCGGAATCGGAATCTCGTCGCCTGCTTCGAGGTCGGTCGCCGGAATCGGAATCTCGTCGCCCGCTTCGAGTTCGCCTGCTTCGAGGGGACATTTTAATTTACATATATAATTAATTTTAGAAAATATGAAATCAATTGATCTCATATCTTTCATAGTATAGATGAAAGAGCGCTACACCTTAAGCTATGTATCCATCTCGAAAAATAGACACATGGTTTGACGGTGAGGCTCAACAAATAAACTAAGAAATGTATGACATTCATTTGGTCTGCAAAACTATTTTATTTATAAGTAGATAAGTTCCCCTATTTAATATCAAAAAATTAAATAGGATTTATAATAAGCTGGGTTTGGAAAAGCTTCCTATAAGGGCAAACCCTTAAAGTTAATTACATCTTAGATATCCGAAGTCACCTAAAAAAACTCTCGATAAGAATCAGGGGATATTATCTTCAAGTAGTTGATATTATCTTCAAGAAGTTCAAAGGATAGAACTTTTCAACGAGATCGAACAAAGATGTTTGAAATGAGAATGACACAAATTTGAAACATTTATTTTTGGAATCCAAAGAAAGAAGAACTTGGGGATGTCACAAATCCTGAGGAGAACTTTGGTGACTTTCAATCTATCCCATGGTTTGGTTTCAATTTGTCAATTTAGAGAAGAAATATTTAAATATTTCATCCTGCCAATTTTATTAATTAGGGTTTACATCCATTTGAAACGATCACACAAATGCACAAATAGCCTGGAAGATGTGAGGATTTAGCTCGTAATGAACGACAACCTCGAAATCGTAAAACAAGTTAAGGCTTATATTGTATAGTAGATTCATACAAAGGCCTAAAGAAAAGGTTGAGGATTTATGTCGCACTATTGGAGTGAGCCAAGTTAGGGAGTTCAAATTTTGGGTTTTGGCCATTTGGGCCTCCTTTGGGGTGACTTTTTTTTTGCGGCTGAGGTGGTGGCTGTCCAGGGTTTAGTCATTTCTTGGCTCAGGGAGGTCAGGGGGTGGCTAATTATGATTAACTCCCAAGGGTAAGCAATGATGGCAAAGTTATTTCAAATTTAGGCCAAATATGAGTGAAATCCCTTAAATTAGGGACAAATTGGGGACCATTAGTCCATAACTCCTCTAGGGTGGGCTAGGTGAGTCTAGCCTGGTCACTAGGGACCAGAAGTTTGTTGTATAAGGTTTGGCTTGATCAATTTGGCAAGGCTTGGTCAATTTTGGTGCATGGGTTCAATTTGGATCAATTTGGCTTCAAGTTGGGTTTGGGTTGGGCTAGCCATGACATTGGACTCAATTGATTGAGAAAATTAGTGTAGATGGTTGTTATATATTGAGATACTACACAAGTATATGTATTGTTATCAAGTAATATAGGATTTTTTTGATTAAGACCTGAATATCGAACTCACAGGAAAAATTTGCAATATGCACTATTGAACAACAAACTTTCTACTTCAAAAAGACAATTACTTAAACTATAAATATTTTTATAGTAATTAAAATTTAAATTTTTTTGGTATTTTTGATATTTTGACAAAAGAATAATAACTTCTAAAGATAACTTGAGTTCATGTAAAAAAACACTGATTATGAAAATATCTTTCTAATTATATGAAAATATCTTTCTAATTATCATAAATCAATAATAAGTATAAGAATTATGTTGTGAAAGTATACAAATTATGTTGTGTCAAATAAAAGCAATAATATTTTTTTCACTTACTAGAGATGCTATAAAAAATAAAAAACATTGCCTAATTTAAAGTTTGAATAGTTCTGAAGACCGGCTAGGCAGAGAAGATTTTATTTATGTTGTGAAAGTATACAAATTATGTTGTGTCAAATAAAAGCAATAATATTCTTTTCTCTTACTAGTAAGCTAAGTTGGGGGCTTTAACCTGTCACTTTAAAGTCCTCTAACTCTACACCCTTCAAAGATTATTTTCCTATTTATTTGCTCTAAATCATATGAATTACATTCTCATTTATACAATCTCATGTAATTCTTTCCAATTGTTGACTGAGACAATACCAGCTCGGTTGTTACATGTTCTCACAACAAATTTTAACAACTAGATAGGTCAGATATAGAAATAACTGAAGTACATGGATTTAAATCATCACAACTTCTTCCAATATTAAAGATTAATACTCTCCGCAACTTTCATCAAACACTTTAACTTATCATTTTAAAGATAAAGATAAAGAAAACTACTTAGAATCCATGGAGAAAATAAAACCACACTTTAATTTAAAAGTAGAAATCATTTTCAAACCAATAAGAAATCTAGATTAAAACCAAAAGTAGTTTAAAAACAAAGATAAAAATTTATCACAAATCCTCCACCAAACTCTTGAAGTGCCTTTGAATTTGTTCTTTGAATCTCTTCTCTTTCTTCTCTTTTACAACGCTCTTGACTCTCACAATAAAACTAAAAATAAAAAGGATAAAGTAAATTTGTGATGCCTGAAAATCTCTATCTCTAGAACTTCTCAGAACTCCCCTTTTCCAAACACTTTCAGGACCCTTCAAAAAGTATCAACTTCCTTCTTTTATAATTTTCCAAAAGATGTCTTGGTAACTCTTCAAAATGTGTCTAAATTCGATGAATTCTCCAAGGGATGCCTCCTTTTTACAAGTCTTTTAATCATATTTTCGTTTCAAGTGGTCATAAAAACCCTCTTTAGCCAATAGGTGCCTCAAATATCTCTTCAAAATTTAAAAAAATGAATTAAACTGTCAAATAACCACCTCTTACGCTTAAGCGCGGGGCCTTCTGCGCTTAGGAACGGTCTTCTCTGTTTCACAGGCGCTGAAGCACCAGATCTGGCGTTTAGGCGGCAAAACTCTTTTGCACCATTTTCATATTTTTGCTTTAAATATGATCATTTTTCACTCTCTTTAGCATTTTTCATCTTTTTACTTGTACCTGAAATAAAAACACACAAATATATTTCATTAAAGTGCAATATCTCAAAAATAAGTATTAAAATGTTTCTAAAACACTATATATTTTAGGTGTATCAGCTAGCCATGACATTAGACTCAATTGATTGAGAAACTTGGTGTAGATGATTGTTATAAAGAGTTTAGAAAAGATTTGGAGTGATTTTGAATTGATTTGATGGGTAAATTTGAGGGTTTTCAGCATTTGATCAATTTGGGGATGTTGGGTTGGACTTGGGTTCAAGTTAGGCTAGAGTTGGGCCAAGTCAAAATTAAGAGTTCAAAATGATCTAGAGGGATCTTATGAAGAGTTCTTAACACTTGGACTTGGGTTTAGGTTAGGCTAGAGTTGGGCCAATTCAAAATTAAGAGTTCAAAATGATCTAGAGGGATGTTATGAAGAGTTCTTAACACTAACTGGGTGTCAATTTTGGGATTTGGGCATTCAATTTCGTGACAGTTGGAGACATGGCTAAATTGGGGTAAAATTAAGGGTTTTGGTCCAAGTTGGTTTTGAGTA